ATATATTTGTTTACATGCTACTTACCTTGGCTACTTTTTGTCTCCTGAGTTTTATTATCTGAAGGCTGACCGTCACCTGCCAGTAGATCAAATCAGTTACAACTGCAGGACCTCAAGTGTTTGAGAGAAAAGTGAGCTTTGCAACACTGTGGGTCATATGTGTGGGATCACAAAACCCATATTATATAACATAAATACCACACATTTTTTGCAACATTTGATCATTTCACACGAATTAAAAGGACCAATGAAGGGGGGGTAATGAGATAAACCCAAGACTGATCACAGTCAGTCTTACTGTGTTTGTTAATTTTTGAAATATGAGTAAAAAAAATAAAATACTTATTAGTTCAACAGTTTTCAACTTAAGATATTACACAATATCAGTCTAAATCCCTTTATTTATGTATTTTTCTTAATTATCCCACCTCATGCATGTTCAAAATAAGTATGAATGATTATATAATAATTAAGATGGCATGAAATATCTTGCCAAATTATTTGATGTTTATTTCCTTCACTGATAAGCCAAAGACATTTTGTTCCCTCTAAATGAGGAGTATTTCACTGACAAGGTTCAGGGCAAAGCTGCTTAAAATTGAGTTTGCTGGAGCATTTTGGGATAAAATCCCAAGATGACCCCTCAGTTACTTCATCCCTTTGCTGGTACTACAAGATCAGTTATCAGGAAGCCTTAATGAAAATGATTACACTTACCTGACAATGAAAGAAGGAAAAGGAAGGTAAAGTGCATACAGGGACAAAGATTTCATACAGACAAATGTTGAGTTCTTAGGTGTGTATATATACACATTTAAATTTCAATATAAGTAGACATCATTTTCTAATTATTAGGTCTCTCTTAGATCTCAAATTTGTTTGAAGAAATGGCCAGAGATCCTACTCATTAGATACATAAATAAATGGACATTTTTATGTTACAATGGCATTTTATGAGCAATATCTGATCTGTGAAAGAACTGACCCACGACCCACAGTGTTATCACACCAACAATACAAGGTTTTTTTAAATACAGGGGGATCTCACCTTCCACAGTGAGTGACACAGTGTTGATTGCCTTCTGACTGTCAGAGCACTTCACTGTGTAGTTCCCTTGGTCTTTTGGCTTGACTTTGTGTAGTGTCAAGGTCTTATCCATCATGGTGAAACGCGTATTATACGGGTTAGTGCACAGATTCACCCCGTTTGTCACATTACATATGAGATTGTGGCTGAAAAACACAGTGACGTCGTCTCCTGTGAACAGATTCACAGTCAAGTCGCCTCCGCTTGGTATCTTATGGTGTTCAGATCGACCTGAAATTGAGTTAAAAGGATTAATTAAGATATGTTTAATAATTAGTATATGAGGTTTAATTATTTTAAAATTAAAATGCAGTGAGCAACTTGCTAACATTACTTAAAGGGGAACTGCAGTTCCAGTTTCTCAGACCGGTTATTAAATCTCAGTAACAAAATAAACAAATTCTGAATGAAGCACAAAATTGTGAACTTTGTGAATGTACTGCATAGTCACCATTTTGTCGCAAAGTACTATGTAGTTGTGCGAGCGCGAGTTCCCATGAATTGCGACGTGACGTGGCCCTTCCTGCTCGCTAGTCACCGTAATGACTAATGTAATGCAATGTATGAGCTCATAAGTACAGCAATGTTATTTCACAGTATTTCTATTGGATTAAAAGAGATGTATTCACAGGCCTGCTTGTTTACAATGTCATAGAGCCACTAAACCTCACCCAACGTATTGTATCACACATAAGGCACTGTGCTTACCTGGAGGTTTTGTCTTATTTTGTGATGTAAACTGGAGGTTTTACACATTACTGTGTACATTTGACTTTTCTTGTGGTTTGAAAATCATTAATACTGATTCTTTCTAACCCCAATGTATAAAAACAGCGTTGCAGTTCCCCTTCAATATAGAAGTTTGCGGTCTGCTGTTTTTGAGGACATTCACTTCAAGCAGTGGAATGGAGTCATAAAACAAATCAACTTTGTGGAGTAAAGCCTTTTTTATATTGAGATAAAGCATTAACACTAATACTATTAGTCTGCACATTTTCATTCGCCCTTACAAAAACTCCTCTGGGGACAGCATGAGCTAGCAATTGAACACGCTACAATATATAGTTTCAGAAGGAACCTATCACTTATAAGCATAACAAATTCACAAGGTTATTAGCAAGAATATGATGAAAATGTATGAATCTCCTATTGTTGTCATGTTCACACAAAGTTGAGGACGAAAGAAATCCCAGGCAAGTCTGTGGCCCTTGATGACTGTAGAGTGATGCTTATAGACTGATGTGTCTTACTTGGATCTCCTCACTTCTGTATTCAAGTTAATAGACCAAAGTGCTCAGTATGAGTTCTGTGTCTGAGACTCCTGATACCTTACAGCCTCATCACTGCCATGTACAAATACAGAGATTAGGTTACTCTGTGCCTACCTTGGACAGTCAGTCTGATACTTGCACATTTCTTCATGTTCTCTGCTTCTGTTCTTTGTACAGAGCACTCATAGTTGCCTTCGTCAGAAAACTGGACTGACTCAATGGTCACGGAAAAGTTTCCTTTCCTAAGATGTTCTTCTCCAAAGGTCAGGTTTCTTTTATTCTTGATGACCCTTCCATTATAGAACGTAAAAACCTCCTCGCCACAATATTTCCATAAACTATATACATCGTGTGAGGGGTGTTCTGCATCACATAGCAGGGTGGCTGACTCTCCAAATTTCACTGCCGTTGTTGTGCCATCTGGCTCCGAGGAGGCTACAACACAAAACAGAGACTGCGAGGCAAGATGGACAGATCCTTCTCGCAAGAGAATTAAACATTTTATGGAGTGTGTAACGAACCTTTGGAAGGGATGACAACAAGTTCAATCAGCCTCAGCTGTCAGTAATTAGCAACACTCCTAACGTCATTTCCTCTCCTACAACACCATCAACACTGTACATGATCCCCTTCTGTCCCTCGCATCCCATCCATGTCTTTACATCTCCATTTGTAAGTGCCCCTTGGGCACTCCTCACTCTGCAGGGGAGTCAGGAGGTTATTCAGGCACTCCAAACACTCCCTAATCCTTTCAGTACACTTAATTCCTGGGTGTTGTTATTCCTACTGAACATATATACATTCCATACAACATACTGTATGTGTAAGACTGATAACTCAGCCTGAATTACTCTACTAAAACATTGGATATTTTAAGAGATTGGGAATCTCGCGAAATTGTGAATTCTGCCGAGTAATTAAACACAGTGTGGACACCAGGTTCACCAGCACTTCAACTTTTAAGAACTGACATCCACTGTTGTGCTAAACTGATGCCTAACTAGCAAAAACCGACTGCATTACTAGCATATCCTACTGCCTGGAGAAGAAACAAAATAACAAACCCTGGATTCCCATTTGATTTGAAACAAGTGACAGAAACATGTAACAGCAAAAAGCAAAGCTATATTAATATCCAATTTCAATATCTGAGCCACCTCAGCTCAGTTGACTCTGGTTCCCATGGCGATAAGAGACCATGTGACTGCTCCCCCCTGGATGGGATACTGGTTCATTGTAGCGATGTTGGGCTACTATTTATACAGGTGGGTGGACTGGAGCAAGTGGGGTAAAGTATCTCACTCAAGGTACACCTGCAGTGTCTTCAGCTGGAACTCGAACCCACAACCAAGCCAGAGACTTACCCACCACACTATAGCACACCTCTGTTATCATTAACACTCAATGCTAATATTAAAGAAATCACATTCCAGTTATCCAGATTCCAAAGTATAATTTGTGAGCCAAACTGTGGCGAACAGTAACTTTAATTTTAAGATGATCATTTCAGGGCTTGTCAATATTTACCTGAAAAAATGAAGCTCAGCAAGATCCAGGCTAGCATTGTCCCGAAAACATCTAAAGACAAAAGAATAATAATGGTCACCACTCTATAGAACAGATCTGAATTGGAATCTGTACAGAGAAGAGCAACCAGATACATTCCAAGGTTGATAGGAATGTCCCACACTGACAGGCTGAAGGAACGGAGTCTCTTTAGTCTGAAGGGAGTGTCCCACACTAACAGGCTAATATTGCATACTACACTGACAGGCTGAAGGAACTGAAACATTTTAGTCTTAAACAGAGATAATTGAGTTTCAAGTATATAAGTATTCAAAATCCTCAAAGTCATTGACAAAGTCAACCCAGTGGATTTCTTCAGAATGAACACTGAAACACAAACCAGAGGGCACAAGTGGAAACTATATGAAACTTCTTTACACAAAAGATTGTGGGAGTGTGGAGCAAGCTACCCAGCCATGTTCTTGAAGCTTGTGCTGTGGTTTCTTTCAAGAAACAGGATGAGATCCTGGGATCAATTAGTTACTAAGTACCAAATGTGTTAGATGGGCCACATGGTTCCTCTTGTTTGTCACCTTTATTTTCTAAATCTGGAAAAAGCTGTTTTGGTAGCTTAACTCATTTCACACTTGTGTTAGTATTTAAAGAAATAATAGAAAGATCTGTTTACAAATGCACCACAGGTAATCAATTTTCGAGAGATGAAGTGATTTACACTTGATTTACTTTCTTATCCGTTATTGCTGTGTACTTTATTATTCAGTCTCACTTCTTCCTTCTATCTGGAGTCATATTGTATGCAAAAATATGTTAACTTGGAAATTTAACAAATTCTCCATCAGATAATAAAAGTGGCCAAAAGTGCCAAGAACACTGAATTAGTTGGCACAGCACACAAGAGCTCAGTTACCCCAGGCATATGCTCAGAAATGACAATACTCTGCTATTTTCATGAAGTTGGAGAATGTTGCAACTTGTTTTCTAAAAAATAATCAACCCACAGGTACAACTGGTGAATTGGAGAGAAAAAGAACATTCTCCTGCAGAAGGAATTAACACCATGGGTCAGAAATGTAACATGCCTCAGGAATTCATGAACAGCAATGGTAGGTTCAAAGTGGGATGTAGATTTAGTATTTGAACAGCTCCAGCAGGGACCTGGGAACAAGTCTCCACTCAGGATCAGATGGGAAGACAGTCTCGTTTATGTATTAACCAGAATCACCGGCTTATTCAGTGGTGTGAACATCGGTATAATCAAATGGCCTTTAGCATCAGAAAGGTTGTGGTTAGTTCAGGAACAATGTGCACGAGGAGTGCTGCTCCTTTCACTTTAGAAAAGAAGAATGGAACTGCAGCCTCACGATTATAACTTATACAAGATGAAAAGAGAAGAAAAGAGAAGCACTAAGAGAAGCACAACGTTTCGGCTGTGGAGTCTTCTTCGGGTGTGCGGGACGGAACGCTGGTTTGGTGAGAGAATAGCCCAGGGAGGAGGAGGAGGAATGAGGAAGAGATCTAGAGAAAGAGTTAGCAGACGGCATAGCGGGTTGAAGCAGAAGTGGGTTGAAGTAGTTCAGGTGGGTAGCTGTGTCAGCATGCGTAGGCTGTCAAGGAACAAGTAAAGGTTTTTTCCATGCTGAAAAGAGAACCTTCTTCAGGTATGACACACCCCAAGAAGGCTGCATAGCTGAATTGTTGTGTCTCTTTTCTTCTCTTTTCAGCATGGTATAAACCTTTACTTGTTCCTGTGCAGCCTACGCATGCTAACACAGCTACCTACTTGAACTACTGATACAAGATCTCTGCTTCATGCATGTGGGCCTCCTGCAAATGGACAATATGAATTTTCCGTCCATTTTTAACTATCAACAGAGTTGCAGGGCATACAGAGCCTATTCAGACAGGCAACAGGCGCAAGATGGGTCACACCCTGGGTGAGATGCCAGTCCATCTCAAAGGCACGCACACAGAAACACACATGTGCACGCTCACACCAGAGCCAGTTTCCCCAGAAGCAAATTAACCCACCAGCATGTCTTTGGACTGTGGGATGAAATCGGAGCACCCAGAGGAAACCCACATGATCACTGGGAGAACATACAAACTCTACACACATAATTGGAATTGAACCCAGGGCCCTGAACGGGGAAGATTACTAAAAAAATTGGCTTGCATACGCAGATACGGGGAAAAAAACAGGAAACAGGTCCAAGCACTCAGTTTCAGCTTCTGATGTTCTTACCCTGCCGACTGGATAGTATTCCTCGACACCGTTGCCCAAACCTTCACCTCAGCAGGGGAGGCTGGCTGGATTCTGCAGCACCTAAGGAGCACAAGAAAACCCACAGATGAAATGAGAGCTGTGCAATACAAAGTAGTCAAGAAACGGCAAAAGTCTGATAAGCCAGTACGCAATTTTCCATTGGACGTGAGAACATGAAAAGCTGGCAGGAGTCCGCCTTCTCCACCTGGACTCAACTGGGAGACAAAACCTTTGTTTCCGGCACGACACAAAACTTCAAGGATAAAGGGAACATGGCAATGATTTGTGGCAAAAGGTAGCACCCATATGTCATACGTATCTCATACACACATACAAAATTATAGGAAGGACACGGGAAGGGCCTTCAATCTCATAACAGAGAGAAGGTACATTGTCACAAGGCCTTTCAGGAAACTACATAAACATTCACATTCTTCCCTTGTGTAGCTTCCACGCTCATGCAATATGTACAGTATATCTTTCTAATCCCGACATACAAAGTCACAAAGTCAAAGTCACACACCTGAAGATGGCTCCACAACCAAAACGTTGTGTTTCTATTCTTCTCTTTTCAGCCTGGAGTACACCTGAACTTGTTCCTTTGCTGCCTACGCATGCTGACGCAGGTCCCTGCTTGAATTTCCACAAAGTCATTTAACACTTATCAGTTTTAAATTGCCAATGTCAGCCCCGTCCATGATGTTTTCCGAGTCTCTTTGTATCTCCCGTGATGCTTGTTTCTGTTTGCCTCTCCCCATTTTTAATCTTCTGCGAATTCACCTAGTTCACTAACTGTAACAGAATTTAAATCAGAAGAAAAGACAGAGTAACATCCTTATAACGGACTCCTGCAGATCCCCTGCTTATATCCACCCATTCAGAGGCTATGCCCCTTCCAATGAGGATCAGTTGACTATTTGCTGACCAGTTCTCACGTAGCACGAGTGTATGTACAGTCTTTCTGCCCTGGGTTGAAAGACTTTATTGGAAGATGGCGGTACAGTACGTTGAGGTGTAAATTCTCTTCACTCCCTCCTACAGGACTTCCGTCCTGGCCTGAGCTGGCAGTGTGCTGAGCATTACTGTGTTTATCACCCTGATTTCAACCGTTCTGATCTGCACCCCCATCTGGTCCTCCCACACTGAGCTCTCCCTCATTTCCCCTGCGCAGCCAGAGAGGATTCACAGCCACAGCAGTTTGTTATTATAATAAAGGGCAGCACGGAGGCGCAGGGGTCAGCTTTGCTGGGGCCCTGGGATCAACTGCAGACTTGGGGGGCTGTGCGTGTAGAGTTTGTATGTTCTCCCTGTGTTTGGGCGGGTTCTCTCCCAGTCTATACTGACAGGTTAATGTGGTGTGAGTGTGTCTGCCCTGTGATGGACTGGCATCCCATCCAGGGTGTACCCTACCTTGCTCCCTTTGCTTAGAGAGACTTCAAGTGATTAGGAAATGAATGAATGAATGTAGAATCCTATTACTCATAATAATAATAATTCTTCAAATGACTTTTTCCATCTCATCAACACGAACATCACAAAATATGATTAACTATATTGTTACAGTACCATTTTTTAAACCACTGTCATTACATTACCTGTGACTCAGGTACAGAATTTGCTAATCATTGATAACATGATTTGACAGACATGCCATTAGCTGCTAATAATCATATGAGCAGAAAATACAGAATAGACTCCTTTCGTTTTTTTGTGCTTCATGTATTCTTATTATTAAACAGTGCAAATGTTATCTTCAGGTTTCGAGTTCATATAACATGTTTATACAAATTCTTGCTTAAAGATAAATATTTTGAATATAAATAAATCAATATCAGCTTCTCTATTACAGATGTAAAACAAATATTGGGTTATTTTTTTAATCCGGCTATTTTCATTATTTCTAATATGTTTTCTTCATCCTTGGCGATTCCCCCCACCCCATGGAAATCTAATCTTTTCCACTTTTATGCTACTTGTTACACAAACCAATATTATTTTAATAAAATACTAAGTCGGTTCTTTGTGACACGAACGCGTTAGTTCGAAGAAAGATTGATGTCTTTCTTTTTAAAGAGAAGTGAAGCTAAAGCTCAAATGATTCTGTTTTATCATTCTTCTCCTGAAGTCCTTTCTAGAAAGTCCAGTATGCGCTTACTACGGCAAAACATCGACGCCTTCATTTTTATCAGAGCTACTGTAGGCAAAGCTCGAGTAACGCATTGGTGGTGCGATTTGTAATGACTCCAAATGAAGATTTTTCATACATGAAATTATATAAGTATATATCATATTAATACATAAGTCATTTGCCCCCACACTGATTCATCTACTTTCTTTTTCAAAAGGGAGCGGTCAATGCCTTCACATAACTTTAACTGTCCACAAAATAACATTTTTAAAAATAGTACATCGTAAAATGATAAACCGCGTTCAATCTGGATATACCATGTCACGTTAAACATATTTTGGCAAATCTGATCTTTGTTGGCGTTTCACGTATGGCGAAAATAAAATAACGTGCTGTACCTTTAGGAGAAACTACAACGCTACCCAAAAGTTTAAAAGTTTTCTTAATTCATGAATTTACCTAAATATTTCATTCATTTCACAGCCCACGCTGAAAACTAGATATCTTACATAGCATACTCTCCTCTCACTCAAAAACAAAACGTTAAATTCAAACCCATACCGATTTCCCCATCTCTCGTCCTTGGACAGTACGTCCGGAAAAATACAGTAAATTGTATTCTTTATAAGACTTCCATCCGGCTTTATCCTAATAAGATTTATCCTATTTCTTCTGTTTTACACTTGTATTATGCTTTCGCCTTCTCCTGAGTATTTGTAAGCAGCCAGCGATGTTGTAAAAGGAAGTAGAGATGTAAAAAATGACGAACGGTTCGACGTGAGTCATTTGCAGTCTTGACTATTGAACACAACGTTAAACATTGTTATATACATAATACTATATGCCAAATATAATTTCAGTTCTGAAACAGGACACATTTCGCAGAGCGAAAAAATGCTTTCGTTGAAATTAAATATATGTTTAGGGTTAAAATACAGTAAGAGGGTAAAACGAACAGGAACGGCAGCTGCTGTAAATTGGAGTAAAAAAAAATAGAAATCGGGAAGCATACTGCGCTGTGATTGATGTCTTTCTTTTTAAAGAGAATTGAAGCTAAATCACCACTGATTCTGCATTAGTTACACGTAAGCGAAGCTTAAAATGAATGTATTAACCCAGGTGACAGGTAACCAAGCACAGTGGTTAGCCCATCTTCTCTCATCTCAAGCATTGAACTCCGTATCTCTTTCAACGTCAGCCTTGGCCTCACACTGACATCAATCACTAGATTCCTCCTTCCCAGGTGCTCTGGTAGGAGAGACAGACTGATATAGTGTACAGTACAGTAGACTGTCTCTGGGTGCCTTCTAGTTCTTATTGATTTACATCATCATGCCCAGAGATATATTCTTTGTCTTTGAAGTATTTCTACACCCTTCTCCGTATACAACTTTATCCCAGAGTTATTTTGACAGATCCTTTGTCTTCATGGTTGAATCTCTGTTTGAGATTCACCATCTAACTGAGACACCTTACAGAGACCTATACAGAGTGTAACAACAATACACCATTATCTACTTATCTACAAATTATGCGAACAACTACTATGACAGGGCATTAACTAAACGTGTCAACTCATTGCGTGACTCATTAAAGTAATTTTGTGCTAATGTAGGTTACCCTTAGCAAAGGTGCTGAATACTTATGCAATCAGCCTGTTTTAGTTTTTGATTTACTTTGCAGTTTCTGCTGACAAGTAACTTCTTTCACACATAAATGGTCAGGTTTTGATGGCAATATACAAATGTGTGTGCTTTTGAAATACAGCAAAAATAAGAGATCATTGACAGAGGGTGAATACTTTTACAAAGCACTGGGAATCACCGTTAGCAATGATGAGTGACACTCAAAACATGATTAAAACAACTTTACAAACGAAGTAAGTCTTGTTCTTCAAACTATCAGAATGTTATGGTTTGTGAGGAATTTTAAAACCTCACAGTACCTCTTAAAACCTCACATATGCTTTTTTGAAATTCTTCTAGAGAGCACTTTACATGGGATGCAATGTATTTCAAGAGTGTAGCAATCTACTGTAAATGTGGGGATGGGTGTCTGAGATTCTTTGTAGGACCTCAAGTGACTAATGTACTGTAGGAACTCTAGAGGGTGCTACATAGTAGTCTCTTTGTTGCTAAAGGTACAGATATTTACAATAGTTTCTTTAATTGGATTTAATTGGGTTTGGTTTTGTACTTTTAAAACATAAGGACAATTGAAAGGTTGAAGTAAATGATTTGCTTTGAACTATCAAGTCCCTGTTGGTTTGATAACAGCTCAAAGAGAAAAACGCTAATATTCAGCATATTTTACACGTTTTGGTTTCTGAGTGGTTGTGTAGTGATCAAATGAAGAGGACTTTAAATGGCATTATTCCGAACGGAAACTTAACGTGCTCTTCCTGTTTGTCATTGAAATAATCTGCAGTAATAGAGCAGATTTGATTTCATATGCGCAACCAACCGATATGTTGGTAATGAAACAGTTGCACCTTTTTCGCCCTATCAGCCCACCTCCTCACATTCGCTCAGTACCAGTGTCAGCACCTACTGCACCTGCCCCCTGTTAAATTCGAAAGCGGAGCTTCTCTTAGTCGGAAATGAAGATAGTGCTTCTTCTCTTCGTGTTTTGTAAGTTTAGTATTTTATTACGACCTTGCTTCAATATATTTCTTCGCGAAATGTTGCTTAAACTATAATAATGGATGTAAACGATTTACGGAGACCACATCTTTTTGTAAAATTCAAGATACTTTGAGAAAATATGGAGTTTCTAGATCTCCCTTGATATGAAAGAAAGGAACGCGTAAAACGCTACAAATTTGCCAAAACAAAAATACCGTATCAAGTGCGGCCAATGAGAGTAAGGCTGCTGCTACGAGCGAATTGAATTTCCCTGGGACAGATTAAATGACTAAATGACCAGCAGATCGAAATGTCTAACGTGTTCAGAAGGGAATTCCAAAGCACTCTAAAAACGGAAATGAAGTGTTTGTTTTTTTTTTCTCCAATAATACATATACTGTATATACAGTGTACAGGTTAGACCCCTTTTGCGTTTGTTCAGTAGTAAATAAAAACTAACAAATATACAATTTATCAACAGTATGGTTGATTTATTCTTCTCGTGTGCTGTGCAATACGATTAACTCGATACTTTGGTTATAATTATTTTGAAAAAAAAATCTCTGGGGATTTATTGACTTTAGGAGTTCCTCAAATTAATTTAAATGATCATTCAGAATGTACGGTACTACTTTCACAATAGAGCAAAGGTTATCGTGGGATGATAAACACAGTACAAGTGAAATTCACAAGGAACCTCAAATGTAGGCACTGCTTCCCAGACAACACTTAGTTACCTGGTTAGTTACTTATCAACATAGTAATGTCTTTTACATATAATAAAATAATAATAATAATTCATGCAAATATTACTATCAAATACCGCCCAAAGGTACTGTAAGTATAACATGCAAACAGTATTCCCTGGGAGCTCCCATCCAAGTCCAGCAGGTTTTGAGTAACACTATTTAATCCCCCATTACTAAATATCTGGAACAGGTTTATTGTAATTGAACAAGCGGGTGATTTGTTAATGTAAGGTTTGTAAAGATCATTTGCAATTAAACAAAAGTCAGTAACAGTTGTTTTCAGTCGTTAGGAGCAGGTGATCAATAGGACTAATGAAATTGGGGCTCTCAAAGACCAGGGCTGGGGGATCCCCTGTGCTGAAGGGTTCCCAGTGAGTAATAATATTATTTTAATCAAGGGTTTTCTGACAATCCAGTGTAGAAATAATTAAATAATAAAGGGTACTTGGAGATGGAATCAGCTGGCCAGCCATGTTGGTGAAGCCATTACATGGGTTCTTTCAGGAAATGGCTGGATAAGATTCTTAGAATAATTCGCTTCAACTACCAAACGGGCTAAAAAGGTTAGAGATGAGGGGAGGCCATTTGGCCTCTTATGGGAGGTGGGCCTACACCGCAGGCAGGATGCTCATCTGTCACTGGGTAAGTACAGTATATATTATATGTGGAAAAAGAGCACCACGACAGTGTGGAGGTAGGAGTTCACCCAGACAGCATGCCTTTGGAATGTGAGAGGAAGAATTGAGAGAAAACCTGTGTGGACTTTGGCAGAACAGGTAAACTCCACACAGAATCAGACCCAGGGCCCAGGATTGATGAGGCAGAAACCTTAACACCCATGCCTTTGTGATGATTCATGAAAGATTGTTGAGGTTTTTAAACATATACCGTACACGGTGGTGCCATATGTACCATTACTAAATTAAGCGGTAATTACAAAATGACCACAAAACTAAACTAGAATTGTGCAACATACTGGCATGATCTGTCTTTCAGACCCTTTCAGGATTCTAGGTCTTTCACGCCAGTCCCCTTCAAGAGAAAGCTTCATGATCATCTTCCCTCTCAGTTGCTTTTACAATTTTTGATTCAACACTTTAACTGTCATGTTTGCTGAGTTACAGCTGCCTTCTCATGCAGAAGAGTATAACTCCTATCAGTAGGCAATGGATAATTAACTTCATGTCACAATTGCAATATTCATGAAAACAACTAAGCACAGAGACCCTATGGCACTGTAGGCATTAAGGATAAAGTACTTTTCCAATCTTAACATTGTTCACTACAACGGGACTTTTGTTATTCACAGAGTATCACCACTAGTTTCACGCAGTAACAACGTCTGGCTGATCATGTTTGGCCAGGAACACTGCTCTTTAATCAGACATGCTTCACTGACTGCAGCAGCCAGTTCTCTCCAATTACACATTTTAAGAGTCTGACCGTAGCGGTTCTGCATGGTCTCATGGCCTCCCTGCTGCACCCCGCCAGCTTGTCTCGCAACACCTGGGCGCGAACCCAGGTCTCCAGTGTAACACAACAGGGAACCAGCTGAGCGAGCTAAAGGAGACCTCACCCAACCCAGCCGCCTGAGGCCCCTGCTACGCGCAGGGTGGGCGATGACGTCACCATGCTCAAACTAGCTCCTCCACATGAGCACCTGTTAATTTCGGGGATATTCAGGATTCAATCTCTTTTAGACTCCTACCAACAGTCACTTAAGAGAGGACCATACTGTCACGACCACCAGGCAGTCAAGACCAACTCGTAAGCGAGCTAATCAGCCCCAGCAGCGGGTGATTATTAACAAACGCCGCCGCACGAGTTAAACCACCTGCTCACATTCCACCGTGCGGTGCGCAGTGCTACTTATACCATCTTCACCTGCTTCCCACTGCTCGGTATTGAGTCTACGCCTTGAGAGCTCTACCTGGCGGTTCCCCCCCCTCGTACCAAGGTTTTTCTGGTTATTGGACTCCCCTTCTGCCTTTTCGACTTTGCACCTCGCCTCTCGCCTCGGACTGTTTGCTACCGGAGATCTCCTTGGATTACGATTTGCCTTTCGCCTTTTGACCACGACCTTGCCTCTCGTTTTTGGATTGTTCGCCTGCCTCATCTATTACCCGCGTCTGCGTCTGCGTCTGCGTCTGCGTCTGCGTCTGCACAGGATCCTTGTATCTTCCCACCAGGGATTCCTAACAGAATACCGAGCCGCAGGAAGCAGGTGAAGATGGTATAAGTAGCACTGCGCACCGCACGGTGGAATGTGAGCAGGTGGTTTAACTCGTGCGGCGGCGTTCGTTAATAATCACCCGCTGCTGGGGCTGATTAGCTCGCTTACGAGTTGGTCTTGACTGCCTGGTGGTCGTGACACATACACT